GGGTTTGAACCACGAATCTTGTGGTTAGCAGTCCAGTGATTATCTTACAGCGCCACACTAGGATTCAATGGTTGTAGTAACATTTCTTCAGAGATCAAGTACTTCTTATATTATTTTAAGATTTCATCATGTGAAAGAAATATAAAAATTTTATTCATTTTTTGATAACCAAATTGAATGGTTCTTCCATAAAGAAGTCTCTGATCTCAAATTAGAATTAATCTTTTTTATCTAAACCCCCCAAAGCACTTATCTTAATTCTCTTGTTTGTTTGCATGTGTTTGTCTTCTACACCTACCTTTTTTTTACATTGATGCATTTCTTCTGTCTCATGTTTGTTAAGTCATAAACTTTTTAAAATTCTGTATCTACCACATACTACATCCCAAATAACGGATTATCAAGATGTGTATTTCAACTTTAAATGAAGTATTTAAAAGAAGCTAAATGTGTAAGACAGATTACATTTGTAAAAATTTTTTTTTGTTTATAGATTAGCAGCAAGAAAATTTGTAGGGGCTGCAAATTATCGGGAGAAGATTCATAGTACACTGACGCCGTGTGGGACTTTTCTTTTTGCTGGAAGTGAGGATGGTATCGTGTATGTTTGGAACACAGAGACGGGTAAATGTTCCATTTTCAAAACAAAACAAAACAAAAATATTTTGGATATTTGAATAAATGTGAAACTTACCATTTTATATAATAATTATCACGTAAATTCAGAGTTCAAATTTTCCATTATGTCTTTTAAGATAGAATATAAAAAAGTGGAACCCCGATACAGTCTAAATTATTAACTAAGCTCTGTTCTTTATTTGTAGTCTTCACAGACTGATAATTCCACATCCTAATCAAAGTTTAGCTTTGCCTTACTTTTAATGAGATCGTGGGAGTCCTGGTTCGCACTATAGGATGTTGTTGTTGTTGTTACTAGGTGCCATCAAGTTGGTACTGACCCATAGTGACCTTATGCACAGCAGAACGAAGCACTGCCCGATCCTGGGCCAACCTCACTACTGTTGCCACACTTGACGTTGATGGACTCAAGTGTTGCGCTATAGGATACACACACATCATCGGTTCAAAAGTTGTCGTTACTTCGCTGGTATTCATTGTCTACATAGGCCCATAGGAGCTCTGCTTTAGGCCTCTTCTAGTTATTCTGAAGCATGGGTGTCTTTCAAGCATATAATATCTCAAAGCTTTTCATAAAAAAAATATAAATGAATCTCCCCTGAAAACCAACACCAAAAAGAATTTTTCAGTTTTAGAATCCTGCTTAGATGCTCTCCTCCCTGTTCTTGGAAGACTTGTGTTCTAGTTGGCATTTGCTCAGTCCGCAGGAAGCACCATCAGATGCCTCTCTACTTTCTAAGCCCTTTGTCTGTATCTTGTGCTTTGCAAACCTCATTGAAGAGGTTGGCCTGAGAAGTAGAAGAAGGAGTGCTGACAGAATACAATAAAGATAGCATTTTTTAATGCAGTGGTGCTCAGGTACTTGTGAAGTATTTGAGATTTTTGTGTACATATGAGCATCATTACTTACTAAAAATATTTTTTAATAAATTGAAAAAAAAAATCTTGTAATGAGAAATGCTTAAGACTATACAAATTATTGAATCTCTTTTCTATCTAGGAGAACAAGTAGCAATGTATTCTGACCTTCCATTCAAGTCACCCATTCGAGACATCTCCTATCACCCACTTGAACATATGGTTGCGTTTTGTGCATTTGGGCAGAATGAGCCAATTCTTCTTTATATTTATGATTTTCATGGTAAGTCCACTAATTGATAAAGAATATTTAGAGTAATTTCTGTATTATGACGGAAAGAACTAAGAATCATGAATTCCATAAAACCAATCATCCTTTTTGTTAACAAAACATTCTTGAATATACTGTAATAACTGAGCAGCTTAGTAGATTGGATTATTGTTATGTGGAGACATTTATTTTCCTGTTAACTTTATTGTTAACAGAATTTAAATGTAGACAAAAGTACATAAAAATGATTGCGCTCTTGACATTGGAATTGCAGAAATGCAGCCATCACTTTCTTTGTAAATTAGTTTAAATCTTTAAAATTATTTGACAATATGTTAGTTAAATCTAAAATTTAAGTATCATTTTGGAAATAGGGATCTTTAATGTTGTCAATTGACTCATGAGTTAGTTTCTTAACGCTACATTTTTATTTTTCCCGAAACATAAAAAGTTTTAGATATGAGAGATTTTTTTAATATCAAAAATAAGCAAAAAGTCAAATGAATATAAGATCTCTAATTAGAAATTTAAGTCGTTTTAAACTCTTTAAGATTACACTATAGTACCATTCTGATAATTGGAGTCCTGGTGTGGCGCTGTGGGCTAATGCATCAGACCTTGAAGTCGTTTGAACTGCAAGGTCGGTGGTTCAAGCTCACCAGCTGCTCCTTGGAAACCCTATACAGAGTCACTATGGTTGGAATGGACTCTAGGGCACTTCACAACAACAACAACACTTCTGAGAAGGCTCTCTTGGTGACGTTGTGGATTCAGCAGTGGAGTTTTAACTGAAAGGTATGCCATGCAAATCCACCTGCTGCTCTGCAGAAGAAACATGAGGCAGTCTGCTTTCCTAAACCCTACAGCAGTTCTGTTCGGTCCTATAGGGTACCTTGTGGTTCCGAATTGACTTGATTTTAGTGGGTTCTGTTGGTGGGTTCTGAGAAGTAGTGTGCATACTTTACAGGAATAGTAGAGCATTCTAAGAGTTGTTATTTATCCTATTTTTCATATATTTCTTTAATTGTACTGAAATTAGGATTTCATCATTTTACATTGTTTTAACCATGTGAGTGCCTCAAAATTGTAATTCCATTTTTTTCATATATTGTCATGTAAAAGACAATATTTGTTAGTCTTTTTTATTTGTTTAGATTATATCATTGTTCACTCTCTTTGATAAGCCAAGAATCTACACAAACTTTCTTGTAAGTGCTGTTGCATCAGTTCCAACTCATAGTGAATTGGGATTATGTCGGGTTTCCAAGTGGTGGCTGGTAGGTTTGAACTTCCAACCTTGCAGTTAGCAGTCCTGTGCTTATCCTACAGCGACACCAGAACACAAACTTTAGAAATGCGTAAATACATATACAAGTAGTATATGAGGGGTCTTCAAAAAGTTCATTGAAAAATTCCATTATATTTTAATTTAATTTTTCCATAAACTTTTTTATTTTATTCATATAGGTAATATTAATGTGGAACTATTTAGACAAAGTGTTTGACATTAATGGAATGTCAAAAGTTAAGCTTATTATGTCAGAACAATGAATTACTTAGTGATGATGATAAAGGCTGAGTTGTTAGCTCTGATAATTCTTAAACCTAAAATTTTTAATCATTGTATGGAATATATTTTCCTTAACAGGTGGATTGTTTTAGAAAATAATGCATAAAATGAGATTTATCGTATTTTAAAGAAGATGCAGTCAATTTCTACAACAATTATCCATATTTGACAAACACTGTTATTAATGGCAAAATTGTCAGGCACCACAATACCATTCATTCTTATAAGGAAATATAAATGACAAATAGATTTCTCAAATGATACAACGTCTACATCTAATACCCAGTTCTAACATATCTCAGTTAAATTTGAGTTACGTAGTTGGAGAAGAATATTGAAAGTAACACTGACTTCCAAAAGAACATACAAGTCTGTATTGGAAGAGGTACAGCCAAGATAGTGAGACTTTGTCTCTCATACTTGGGATATGTTATCAGGAAGAAGGACATTATGCTTGGTAAAGTGGAGAGTCAGTGAAAAAGAGGAAGACCCTAGTGAGATGGATTGACAGTGTGGCCGCAGCCATGGGCTCAAGCATAACAAAAATTGTGAGGATGCTGTGGGACAAACCAGTGTTTCGTTCTGTTACGCATAGGGTTGTTATGAGTCATAAATGACTCCGCTACACCGAACAACAATAAGAAGTTCTAACAAAGCTCCTGAAACCATTCTGTGTTTGTATCCACTGTAAATAGATAAAGAAAGAGAAGTTGTACTTAAGTACTGTACAGCTGGAACTGTTATGCAGGAAATCAGCAGCACAGTTATTTCCTCAGACTCTTAAGAGGGTAGCGATTATTTCACAACATCTTCATTCAGATTCTCATTTGGCTTTTTAGACTTTAAAAACTAATGCAAGTTACAATTCCACTTGTTCTTTTCTTCTGTAAGCAGTCGATTTTTGTCATTGACAGAGGATTTCACAATGAGATCAACCCAGGAGAGTCAGACTTACCAATTTGGTTTTTACACAGTAGATATTGATTCAAAGAAGTGTACTCTGGGCAAGTAGTAGAAAGAGCTAAGTATTAAGAGTCAGTTCTTCTTACTTCTGAGACTTTTTGTAAACCTCTTCCCTGAAGCTTCATTTTCTCACATATTCAAAGGTACCACTAATAATAGTCCTGGTGTGGCGCTGTAGGATAAGCACTGGACTGCTAACTACAAAGCCAGAAGTTCAAACTCAACAGCTATATACATTTTTAAAGGAAATTTCGGAGACTCCAAAGGATAAATACTGGGCTATGAACCACAAGGTCTATGGTTTGAGCCCATCAGCTGCTCCGTGGAAGAAAGATGAAGCTTTCTGCTCCCATAAAGATTTTTAAAAAGCCTCGGAAATCCTACTCAGGGTCGCTGTGTGTCAGAACTGACTGGATAGCACTTAACGACAACATATAGGATCTTAAAGTGGAGGAGGAAGGATTTACTTGAGCATTTTAGTAGCAAAAAAGTTCAAATAATATGCCTGAAACTGAAATAATTTTGTGTAAGGCATTTAGAACACAGTATTTTGATATCTTAACACACCTTTTCAAACGAATTGAGACAGTTTCGCCACATTTTCCCAACTCTTTACTGCCTATTTTTAAAATGAGGAAATTTAGGAAGAAGTTCCGCAATCTCAGTGAATGCAGTTCTTGTCAGTGATACACACACACACACACACATAAGAAAATGAAAAGTTGTTTCAGGTGCTAAAATATTTTACTTATAAATGCAGGCCAGAATCCAAGTAAAGTAGTCTTCAAATTTTCCATTAAAAATTATAATACTCATATTTCTTATTGGTCCATTATACTAAAGTTTGCATGTACCTTTATATAAGTTTTAATGTTATAAAATTCAAATGTATAGGACAGTTGTATGGTTTTCAAAAATATTTATTTGAAAAGAAAATAGATTAAATAAGTAGAGGGCAAATCATGTTTCAGAGTACTGAACTGATGCTTTATTGACTTAGGGAATTTTCAAGGAACATAAAGCCAGCTCTTTTTTCTTTTTCTGTTTTTTAAATTGTTGAGTAAGCTGTGAATGAGACCACAGTGGTAGCTAAATGTATCATCCATTTTTCAGTTCTAGCAAAATCTGTGAAGGTCAGCAAGCATCTTCCCCAGTTAAGCATATGTTCAGGTTGTGGTCTTTTTAAGTCTTTCATTCTACTGTCTTTTTGCTTTTTTTGGTAAGAAACATGATTTTTACTTTCAGAAGGCAGTTTTATTTGCCTGATGTTGAAAGGGTTAATCATATAGTAATACAAAATTTAGTCACAGAGTACCACAAATAATGTACTTTTAGGATTCCCATAAAAACAGTGCTAGTCAGAGAAACGGCTTCTACTGAATTAAATTTACAAAGCTAGACTTTAGCAATTGATGTTTTGTTATTAATCAATATTCGTCTACCTCCGTGTCCAGGATGCTGTTCTACATGTATTAATAATCATAGGTAACACGCACACTTTCTCTTGTCCTCATACTGTTTGAAAGCATTTTACACGTGTTCTTTAATTTCCACAATAAACTTATGAGATAACAGGTACTATTAATCTCTCCATTTTACACAAGTCAAAATTTGAATCCAGAAAGTTTTATTCACTACACTAGCCTTTTTAGCAGACATTCTTGAAATATTAGCCTTTGATTATCTAATAAACAACTCTTTTTTTCTGTGGCGGTGTGGGCTAATGCCTCAGACTGCAAAGTCATTTGAACTGCAATGTCAGTGGTTCAAGCTCACCAGATGTTCCTTGGAAAACAGGATCGCTTTGGGTCGGAATCGACTCGACAGCACTTAACAACAATAACTGTTTACACTGTGCTTCTCAGTGTTGTTGTTGTTGTTGTTAAGTGCCATCGAGTCGGGTCCGACCCATAGCGACCCTGTACAGGGTTTCTGAGGGTGTAAATCTTTACGGGAGTAGAAAGCCTCATCTTTCTCCCGAGGAGCGGCTGGTAGTTTCGAACCGCTGACCTTAAGGTTCGCAGCCCGATTCGTAACCACTACGCTACCAGAGCTTCTCAGTGTAGTAGTGCAAATTCGTTGTATTTCCTGTACTTTGTAGGAAGCAGAGATGGAGTCTTATTCATTTTTATTGTCAGTCTTGTCTTGAAGATTAATGTCTGATATTATGCATATAATATTTTAAGTAGTGTAAGGTTTTAATTTTGCAAATTCTGAGCAGTGTTGAGTAATCCCAGGTAATGAGCCTAATCTCTCACTAGGTGGCAATATCTCCTGTGAATCCGCATTAACCCTGGCGTGCTCTACCATCATAGTGTCTAGAACAAGACATCTTACTGAGTTCCTATTGTGTGCCAGGAGTCCGGGGTGGTGCTGTGGGCTAAAGCACTGGACTGCAGGATTGGTTTGAATCACAAGGTTGACAGTTCAAACTCACTGGCTGCTTCTTGGAAACCCTTCCAGGGTCGCTATGAGTCAG